TTAACGTGTACAAATTAATTCAAAAATAACAATTCTCTAATATAACATTAATTAAAAAAAGGGGGTCAAATAAAAGGTTAAAACCAACTTGAGCCTCTCACCTTACAAAATTGATAAATTTTAACCCATAACCTTATAATATGACATTTTTAACCCTTTACTTTACAAAATTAGTAGGTTTTAACCCATCACCTTACAAAATTAGTAGATTTTAACCACTCATCTTATATTATGACACTTTTAGTCCCTTATCTATACGAATTGAAGAAAATAACTCTCACTTAACATCAGATTATAATGTTCTGTTAATTCTGTTAGTTGATTATTAATTTTGTTAACTGATTGTTAGCATCCGTTAGTATTCTGTTAATAGAACTAACAAATAAAATTGAATTTAAATTTTATGTTTTCTATAACGAAATATTAACGAATGTTAGTTAACAGAACCAATAGAATATTATAACCTAATATTATGTGAGAGTTATTTTCTTCAATTCGTATAGGTGAGGGGTTAAAAATGTCACAATATAAAATGAGGGGTTAAAACTTATTAATTTTTTAAGTTAAGGGGCTAAATCTACTAAATTTGTAAGGTAAAGGGTTAAGAGTGTCATATTACAAGGTAAAGGGCTAAAACCTATCAATTTTATAAGGTAAAGGATTAAATGTTGGTGTTTACCCAAATAATAAGGGTCTGATATAACCTTAATTAAAAAATGGAGGACCAAATAATAAGGAAGCACCTAGTGGAACACCTGCAACAATTGCAATATTGCATACTTTTTTCTTTTTCTTATAAAAAAGGACGACCAATTAATCAGGAAGCGCACCTCCTGGGAACAGCCGCAACAATTGAATACTTTTCCCTCTTCTTATAAAAAAGGACTAAATATTAAGGGCCAGATATAACATTAATTAAAGAAAGGAGGACCAAATACTAAGGGACCACCTCGTGGGAACGCCTGAAACAATTGCAAACTTCTTCTTTTCTTTTCTTTTCCTTTTTTTTTTAAAAAAATAAAAGTAATAATATGTTTGGGTTAAAAAGAATAGAGAAAAAGAAAAAAAAAGTTATTTAATTATCTAAAGAGTTGAAGAGGAGAAAAAGAAAAAAATTTATTTTATTTTTTAAATTTATTTACTTATTTAAATAAAAAAAATAAAAAACTAAAATTCTCCTCTTTTTCGTTTCTCTTAATTTGAATATATTGTAAAGTACAAATATAATAAACAACAATACAAATTGTGAAAAGCACAAATATAACAACTTAAGCATAATACAAAATACAAAAAAAAAAAAAAAAAAACCTAAAATCGAACCAAAAATCCTAAAATTATAAAATCTCAATCTTTACACCATCAGGCCAAAGATATCATTGGCGGAACCATTGCAACCAGCTATGGTGCTACATATAAAAGTCCAACAAGGATAACATACAAAATTTTTAATTGTTAAGATACCTTGCTGCATTAAGTAAAAAACTTGAGGTAGTCATCATCTCTCACGCCTCAGATTTTGCAATAATTTTTTTTTTTTGAACATTTTGTGATTTTGTGATGGAGCCGACTCGAACCGTTGTCCTGGGGGAAGGAGATATGAACCTTATAAACGTAATTAGAGCCACTTGACCCAAAAGGCCAGGTTCCAGATTTTGCAATAATTTAATCTTAATTGATCTGATCTTCTCATTTTCACACTCGTTTCTTGAATTGACTTTCAGATCCATAATTATAAAATTCTCCAAATACCCCAAAAAAAAAAAAAAAACTGAAATTTCCAACAGGAATCCTAAAGGTTGGAGGATAGATATGACTGGGTCTTTTTTAAAGATTTTGACCTTAAAATAAAATTAATATGAATTTTTATCATTTTTAATATTAATTAATAATAAAAAATATTAATATACGATTTTTAAAAAAAATTAGTGTTTATCGTTTTTTTAAAAAAAATTTTAAAAATTTATTTTGAAATTATATCATTTTAATAAAATATTATTATAAAAAATTAAAAAAAAGCAATATCATCGTCAAAAATGGTGTTTTTTACATGGGCTCAAAAAGAAGGGCCCTCATGTTATTCGGGCTGGGCTTAGGCCGAGAGAGTGACCCAAATATTTTCCTCGCCAGAGTAACTTTGCCCGTTTGCCGGGCCGAGAAGTACACTCTCGATCCCGTCGCAAGACGAGAGGCTATCCAAAGATACCGGAAGAACCGAAGGAGAGATGGCGGCGGTGTCGTTCCGGTGGATACTGCAACTCCACAGGGACGTTCCGAAGGCGGCTAAGTTCTACTCGCAAGGGCTTGATTTCACCGTCAACGTCTGCACTCTTCGTTGGGCGGAGCTTCAATCGGGTCCTCTCAAGCTTGCTCTCATGCAATCCCCTAGGTACCTTTGAAATTCGTGCCTTTTATTTGTGAATGTTTGCTTGCTTATTTATTTTCCCTTCTGAGATTTGATGTCATGAGTCACAATTAGGTTATGGAAACAGGGTTGCTTGATTTATTTGTTGTTGGAATTAATACTTGTGTGGTGATTTTCAGATATTGTGTTGAGAAAGCAAATTGGAGTTGCTTATTTATGTTTGTGGTTTTTCTTCAAGCTCATTTTAGGAGAAATTGATGCTGAATTTGAGTGGTTTTCTAAAGATTTTTGGATGATCTCAGACATTGAGAAAGCTCTATTTGAATTGTGAGAAAAATCTTGTTTTTTAACTTATTAGCTTGCTTCTATGGTTCTTTTAGATCAATGAAAAAGGGGAAAAACCCTTGTTAAGCTTTCAAACTTATCCAAAATAACATTTAAACTCCTGAACTAAAAATAAAGTAAATAAGCTCTCCAACTCTACTTACTATGCAAATAGGCCCTTCTCACAAACAGACCAAAAGGTATTTCATGTTTAATATCACCTTAAAAGCATGAATACCCATGAATGAGTAAGGCTTATTTGCATAATTAGTGGAGTTAGTGGGCTTCTTTTTTTTTGACTAGGTAGATGGTTAGGAAGTTAGTAGAGTTAGTTTGTTAGCAGCTGGAATTTTTCCAGGAAAATGAACCTTCCACCCCTCATTTGAGGCGCGCGACTATTAGGTCGCAAGTTGATAGAGTTCACGGCGGTGGCAGAGCTTGAAGCCCTGACCTCCGCCTCACCCAAGCCTTAAAGCTTGGGGGTCAACCAATTGGGCCACAGGCCCGGTTGGCGAGTTAGTGGGCTTATTTGCTTCATTTTTAATTTAGGGTTTTAATGCTATTTTGGGGTAAATTTGAGAGCTTAAGAAGGGTTTCTGCCATGAAAATGGTGGGTTGTTGAAAACAGGAGGATAGGAAATGATGCATTGGAAAACTCAAACAAAAGAGTACTAATTACTAAAGGTTACTTGAATTTTTTTTGGTGACTTTCTGATTTGCCATGATCCAATTTTACAGTGAGCATGTAATGCAGAATGCAAACTTTTCTGTACTATCATTCACAGTAAATAAATGACATTAACAATTCAGTGACGAAATTAATGGCGTTAGGAGCTGAACTAGATGGCCCCATTAAATATGAGATCTATGGAAAGGTAGCGTCTTTATTTCTAGTGGACTTCTTCACACCCTCAATTTATGTTCACATGATAAGGACTTAAAGATATTACTCAAATTTGTGTGTGATTAGGTCGCAGCCGTGCGATGTGTTGATGGCCATATCATAGGCCTATATGAACCTGCGTGAGTCAGTTGTGGAGATGAGTTCCTTAAGCAAAATTGAGCAAGGTATCCCACAATCATTGAGGAGAGACAAGAAACCTTCAATTATTTAGAGTCTTCTGCATCTCCTAAAAGTGATAGAAAATTTGGAGCGTTGAGGTAGTGAAGCTGCTCTCTTTTGCCTGCTATTTGCCTTCGTGATAAAACATGAATTCAGTTTTCAACGTTTTTGATTATATGCTTGATTGATTGATTGATTGAGAAATATTTGCTAGATAATGTAAGACATAAATAATGAATTTGCCATTCAGTGTGGAAACTACTGCAGCACCATTCTTTGCTAGCCAATTGAAATTTAACACCAAAAAGTAAAACGTGGCTCAAGCAGTCATTTAAATGCAGAGTTGGTGTAAGGGTCTTATCGACTATATGGGTGCTGAATATCGTCCTTGGCTTCCGTGAATGGTGCTTCTGTCTTGAATCTGGATGCCACATCCTTAGCTTATCTCTCCTTCATTTACCTGCTGAACCTGAAGACGGAGATACATATTTGCTAGAAAACAGGTCTTGGTTCAATCTCCTGAACTGAAACCTGGGATCTTGATGCAGTCTCAACATTAAAGATATTAAGTTTCTGTGCTGCAGTCCCAGATCTTGTTTTTCCATTTGGTTTGAGCGACCTTATTGGTGTGGTATAAAGAATGACAGAAAGAAGTGCATCGAGAAGTGCACCGAGAAGTGCGGGGGGTTGGCATTTGAAACACTGTAATTGTATAATTGAATTGTCTGGATTCTGGACCACTTAACCTGCTAATACGTACCTAATACATGAAATTGAAGGGTTGAAATTCAAACCAAGTGCCCTTTTTAAATTCTTGTTTCCATGATTTGAGTTTGAATGTCTGATTATGCCCTCTGCAGCATCCCTACAACACAGCAACCCCCAATGGGGGTGTCTGTAAAGCATTTACCTATCTGACGCTTGTGGGATTTGGATTTGGAATTGTTTAAAATATCTATTTTGATCCCTTTTAAGATTTCTGCTCCTTTGAAGTATTTCAAGACTTGAGACTTTCAAATATTTTCGTTTTCTAAGGTCCTTTGATGGTGGGAATTGCCCTTTGATTGAGGACATTCTCCTCCATATACTTCCACACCGAATCATGATTATATGACAACCATGGCCAAAATACCATGGCACTTATGTTGATTTAAAAGGTGCAAGATGGTCAATCAAACACAGCCGTTGGATTTCAAAAGAGATGGACAAAACCTAGAGAAGTAAGATTATTATTATTATTATTTTAACTGGAGGATAAAAGGGACCTGCAGGCCAGTATTGAATGCTGCTGTGGTGGGTGGAACTGGAGTGTGTACACCCCACCACCCACCAGAGAAAGAGTCTGGCACTTGGTATTCACTGCTCATTGGTAGGGATTGCATTGGAGGAAGAGGAATCTTAATTCGGTATTTGTGCTAAACTGCTAATAAATCTCCCTTTAGAGTTCACTGGAGAGAATATGTAATTTGGATTTTTAAATTTCAGAAGTGACTACTTAATTTTTCTATATTTCAATATTTGGACCATAAACATGGAAATGAATATATACCATCTTTCATACATTCCTTGCAAGGTCTTGATTAAAAATGAAATTACAGGCATAGAAAGGGTACAATAACAACTCAGTCAACTGATACATATTGAATCATAATGCCAAAAATTCCAATTCAGAAAAGTGAAAATATCAAGAAATATACTGTGTATTTCCCTTGTCCAAACTCACAGATACAAAGCTTATCTGATCGAGGGGTTGAAAAGATAATAACCAACACGGCGTGCATATTACAGCATGACAGAGACAAGGAAAAATAGAAAACAAAGCTTTAAAATTAATGCAGACATGCAACTTGTGTCTTTCTCCAGTGATGAGCATGCAAATTTTGGTAATTGCATCCTCTGAGAGACATGTCTGGGAACTTGTTGCAGTAAGAGGTAGACCAAGACCCAAGAAGATGATGAAGAGCTGTCTTTGACCAAATTAATATCTTTGGCGACGGATCACTGCATGCATCTCTGCTTTTTCAAAAACCCTAAACATCACAGGGTTAACCTGGCTCAAACAACAAACACACAGTTGAAAGCTGTTCAAGAGAAAAAAAAAAAAAAAACAAACGAACACAGTTAAAAAAACTTTAGCTACTTGAGAATAAGTGACAGAAATTAAAGCAGTGGATAGATATTAATCTAAATCAGTTCTACCAAATTAACCTGCATAACTTGGAGATAACTAGCTATATATATATATATATATATATAGGTTGATCTTTTATTTTCTAGGGTTACCAAATACCAACAGGGAAGAGATCATAAAGAAATAATGGAAGTCAAGTCACTTAAATTGACTATGATAAGATAAATAAATAAAAGTATATTTAAGATAAAGAGTAGAGGGAGCTCCCTTCAGTCCAAGCACAGAAAGCTTAAGATCCAATTTGTCTCCCGCTTCATTCACTCATTTACTGAGTGTTTTAATAAGCGCCTCAACTCAGTATTTGGATGAATGAGTCGGCAGCTAATTAAATCCTATCGCCAGCCATAAGTGGACTGAAGAAAACTCCCTCCTACGCCATGCCACATACATTTTTACACCCAAAAAATAACATTAACACACACACATGGTTATTTAAATTAATCATTCAATGCATGAAACAAGTGAAAGCTAGCTTCTATGTAGATGGATCTTTCAAAGGTAGCTTACTCCATATCGCATGATGAAAGCCATCAGAGAAGTGGAAAAGGGTACAAGGGAATTAGAAAGGGGAGGTGAAGAAAGCGACTGCATGTTTAAAGGGAGAGATATGCAAAAGGGAATAGTTTATACAGTAATATTGAAGGAAAGAAGAGGAGAGGAGAGGAGAGGCCTCCCTGGCTCTGCCTAACTTAGACAGGCATTTGGTGGGATTTCTTGGTGGAGGAAGTGCCTTTATATAGCTAAAAGCAGGCAGAGATCATCTTTCTTTTTCTTTTTCTTTTTTTAATAAAAATAAAAGAGAATTAATATCTTTATATAATCATAGTTTTTATTGCATATTCATGTCTCAGTCCTTAACCTGCATGCTGTTCTAATGACAGAAAGATTAAGGGAATCTTGTAAGAAAAACCCTATAGTTACATTATTTTTATAAACATTAATTGATATACATTTTAATTTAATATATTATATAATATATTTATTAAAAAATTTATTATTTTTTATATAAAATTAATTAAAAACAAAAAAATAAAAAAATATAGTCATATATATAAGGTATAAGAATTAATTGAATTAATATATTTATATTATATTTTAATAATTAAACTAAATAAATATTAAAAAAAATGTGTCCAAACACTAGTCATTTTCTTGAACCCATAGCCAAGGCTTGAGGTTTGTGTTCATCTTCAACCCGGTCCCAGCCTTAATTTCATTCTTTTCGCAAGGACCTACAACCTTTTTGAACTCCCAATAATATACTCATCAGGTGCAACTTTATCATAAAGCTCCATTTATTTAATATTCAAAGTTAAATTATTATTAAGATCTTATTCATACACGCTTTTGGAAGGGTACATGAATTAGGTTCCCAAAGTCATATTTTAAGTCAGTTGGTACAGTCTTTGTCCATCCGAAATCCAGGATTGAAGTAGAAAAAAACCATTGATTAATGCACAGAATACATTAAAGCATGATTAGTTAACTCTTAATGCCATTCTTAATACTTTTGATCAAAGATGCATGAAGCCAAAAAAGACTGCTACCATATAATATATACAGTCTCTTGGCTTTCTTGACTAGATGATCTCATGCCTTTTTTTTCATTTTTAATCGTTGGCATTTAACAAAATAACGATGTGATGTGGCCTACTTTCAGCTGTTTTGTCTGAAAATTATGTTTTACCTCATTCCAAAGGAACAAGAAACAGCCTATATTAGACAGCCTTTTGTCGGGCGGAAATAAATTTATTTAAGCAGCTCTCTTTTATAGTAGAAACTGTATATTATTGAATAAAAGAAGGCTTTAAAATTAAAAGATATTATTTTTAATTTAATAATTAATAAAATACAATTTGATACAATTAAATTGTTTTATATTTTTTAATTATTTATTTTTTTAGGTTAAACCCTAATTTGATCCTTAAACTATTGTACGGATCTCCGATTTAATCCCTGAACTATTATATGGATTTTGATTTGGTTTTTACTATTTATCAATTTACTTCAAGTTAATTCTTTCGTACAAAAAACAGTTAATGTATTTATTATTTAACAACAAAAAATAATAATTTAATAGTTACGTGTCACGTTAATAACGTAGCATGTCAATTATTTTTATACAGAATGATTAATTTGAGGTAAATTGATAAACAGTAAGGATAAAATCGAAGATTCGTATAATAGTTTAAAAACTAAATTAAGGATTTTTTAAGTTTAGAGACTAAATTGAAGCTATGTACAATAACTTAAGGACCAAATTGAAGATTTTACTTGGGATGGAGGAAAGAAACTACCAAGTACCAACACGTCTGCTTACAGGATAGAGCTTAGATCCGCCGGTGGCGAATTCCAAGCAAGATCTTGCCTTATCTACGTAAAAAATACACTTTTTTATTTTTCTCTCAATTTTATTTATTAAGGTTGTTCACCTAGCGAATTTGTAATTTCCTTTCATAACTTAAATATGTCTAAAACATAAGTTTATGAACAAAAAAAATACCAACTGTACGAAATTAATGGCCAAAACAAAACTGAGGGAATGATTTAAAAAAGTAGATTTTTCATGGTCGAAGGACAAAAAAAGGTGAGAAAAAGGTGAGAAAAATAGTTTAAAAATAAAAATTGTTTAGAATTAAAAGTTTAACGATTAAATTTGACATTTAATTTAATTATAATATAATATTATATTATAAATTTATAATTATGAATCTTTATTATATGATTGATTTTTTTATTTAAAAATAAAAATTGTTTAGAATTAAAAGTTTAACGATTAAATTTGACATTTAATTTAATTATAATATAATATTACATTATAAATTTATAATTATGAATCTTTATTATATGATTGATTTTTTTATTTAAAGATTTATTAATCATATTTTATATATCTATTCATTTAAGGATATGTTATAATTATAAATTTATAATATTACTTTATTTTTTTCTTTTAATATTATTTTAATAGTAAAAAAGGCAGTAAATACATCACAAAAACTTCTAATGAAATTGGTATTTAGATATTAGAGGTCAAGCTCAAAACCTATAACTAAAAGTATAAGTAAATTTACCATTAGATTATATCGTTAATGATTTTAATAAAATTGTAAATTTTTTTTAATCTTTATTTTTTTAACATAATTCTCAATTTGTAAACTTTTGTCTTTACATTTTTTTTAATAGAAAAATGTTTTTCACAACTTCCCTATATGAGATACGTTGAATAACTTTTTTCGTCAATTTTTTTTTTCATATCAATTTATCACCAAACACAACAAAATTAACAATCTAACAATTTTTTATCCAACAATCCAATAAAATTTTAACAATTTTTTTTTATAAAATTTAATAATTTTTTGTATAGTACCTTCTAACTTTTTGTATATTACTTTAATCAATCACTTTTTAGCAAAAACTTTATTGGAAAATTTTTCTTGGAAAATTTGGTTTTTAATCAAAAACATGCTTTTGTCCCTATTCTACTGTCCAAATTGTTTCAAAGTCATTGACAAGTGTGATTATGACTCCCAATTTATTTGTTAAGCCATTAAAATAATGTTAAAAAAATATAGAATTGATTTGATTTGATTTGATTATTAAAAATGAGTTTCTTATTTTGTAATCTGAATTATATTAAATTGCAAGATCAGAATTCTTGGATGGGAGAGGAAGACCCACTATTAAAGGTTTTCCTTAATTCAAGAATAAGTATTTTGTAGTTTGATACAATTTAAATTACAATATAATTTTTTAATTAAAAATACTTAATAACTAATAAAATAATTAATATTTATTACTTAATAAATTAAAATCAATTTATAAATTAATATTTCTAAACACTATAACTATAAAAAAATATAAATATTAATCAAATTGAATACAATTTAGTGGCATTTATAAATGAATGGATGCCATTACCACACCCATCACTGATGAACCCTACATTTAAATGCTCATTATTTTTTTAATATTTTTTAAATTATTTTTTAATGATTAGGTGACTTTATCTTCTTCTTTTTTTTTTTTTGAATAAGGTGTCATAGACTCATAGGGCAGGCTCAAACCCTGCCCAAAGGAGAGGGGGGATGCACTTTAATGTGAGTAGAGGTCACTTGATTCGAATAGTTAGATGCAGTGATTTTATCTTAATTTGTTCATATATGAAGACTAATTTCTTATTTTATTTGATTAAAAACATGTTATCTACATTGAAATTAAAAATTTTATAAAAAAAAATATTACTTTATTACATTTTTTTATAAAATCAAATCTTAAGCAATAAATTAAGTGAAATAAACCTCCTTAATAATTAAGTAACTCCTTTGAGTAGTGCTCATTCTTTATTAATGGTTAGTTTTGTACCACAAAAAATTATTTTATAATTTAAATTATAACAAATTACACAACTTAAATCATTAAATTAGAGGCAAATTTATGATATTAAAAAATATTCTCTTATTTAAAAATTCTTATAAAAAATTTTTTCCTTTGTACTATCTATTGCGGTACAAATGGTAAAATATATTTCTAAAATTTCTATTACTTTTGGTCAATTTTTTTGTGACATTTTATCAAAAAGTAAAAAAATAAAAACAAAACTAGTATAGTTAGGATCACATAATACTCTATTAAGTAATGTTACATGAACTTTGTTTAGTTTAATTAATATTTTATTATTTTTAATTTATTTTAATTTATTAAGTAATAAATTTTAATTGTTATATCAATTTTTATTAACAATAATTAATAATTAAATTAAATTAAACCAATAATTGAATTGAATTAAATTAAATCAATTTTAATTAAATTAAATAATTTACAAAAAAAATAAATTAAATAATATTTTGCAGCCCTCACAAACTAGGTCCCACACGATAACCACATCCGAAGGTACCCCAATTGAGAATAAAAAACATTTCTCGCTTTAAAAATTTTAATTAGTTTGTACAATTGTAATGACATGGTTAAAAAAATTATATAAGATATCAAATTTATAATTATAATATATTATTAGATAAAGATGATGTAATTATTAAATAAATAAATATAAAATATTATAAATAAATTTTTTTTAAAAATAATATAATAATATATTATAAAAAATAATTAATACATAATTAGTTTAACATTTTTTTAATATATTTTTAGTTCAATAATTAAAAATATAATGTAAATATAATATAAATACAATTATTTCAATCAATTTTCATCATGTAAACATAATTATATATTTTTTTGAACAAAGTGATATGGGGTAAGCTCCAACCTGGTTAAGGGGAAAGGGAGATGCATCTCAATATGACTCGAGATCATTTGACCCGACGGATCAGGTGCATACATAATTATATTTTTAAATTTATACACTTTTAATTTTAAAAAAATAATTTTTAATAAATATATTATACAATCTATTAAATTAAATATATATCCACCATTGTTTTATATTATATTATAAATTCACAACTTCATACTTTATTGTGTGTATATCATTTTAGCACGGATAACACGTGAATAATAAAGGGACAGAGACAGTGAAGAGTTGGGGACAGAGTCTGTCTCAATGACAGTGGCAATAAAGAAATTTAAGTATAAATTAATAATTTATTTTTTTTAAAATTTAAACTATATTTAAAATTTTTATTTTATTTATATTTATAAAAAAATTAATACATATTAATTTTAATTCATGAAAAATTAAAATTTTAATCTAAAATAATTTCATCTCATTTAATTAAAATTTAATTTAAAATATATAAATTTATTTTATTAAATATTTATTATTATATTTAAAAACTAAAAATTAATTTAAAATTTAAAATATATTTTATTAAATATTATATATAAATTAAAAATAAAATATATTAAAATATATAATTAATTTTAAATTTGATATTAATATTTAATAAAATAATTTTTTTAATTTTAAATTAATTTTAATTAAATAAAATAATTTTTATAAAAATTGAGATTGATGTTTATTTTTTATTTGATAAATATTATTTTATTTAAAATTTTAGTTTTATTATAAAAGTAAAATTCATTAAATTTAATTTAAATATTAATTAATAAATACCAAAAATTAAAACTCAAAATCATTTGTTGGAAAAATATCGTCAGTCAAATCACAGTCTTTTCGAGCAGAAAAGCTGCCTACAAATGGTACCTTCTCGGCCTTTCCACGTCCTCTTCTCCTCCATTTTGGTTTTCATTCTTCTTTTCTCCATCTTTTTCATTGCCGATTTGTTCCATAAAAATATATAATTATAGTATTAAATAATATTATATAATTATTTGTTTAATATTATATTATAATTATAAAATTATAATTTTATATGATATTATAATTATAATATTAATGTATATATATATTTTAAGCATATTAATGTGTGTCTGGTCTGGATAACTACTTTTTTTTTCCTTCTCTCATTGTCCATCCACCCATCAAGTCACCTCTCCATTTCCTTTTCTTACTTCCATTTACACATTTAAGAGAACAAGTGGCTTGGGAGAAATGTTTGATAGATTATATTTTAAAAATATTTTTTAAAATTATCATTAAATAAAATTTTTAATTTAAATCAATGTATATTGATTTTTTAATTAATTTAATAAATTTATTTATTTATTATTTATGACATAAAATTTAATACAATTAAATATATATTAACTGCTAATATAACACCAAACTGTAAATTTTATTGTAATGTAAATTCTAGTTGTAGGCCCTACCAATCTTCTCTTTTTTTTCTGGGTAAAACGATTCTACTGAACCAACGAGGGATTGGATCAAGTAGTAAACGACTTGTTCCAACTTAAGTAAGTGATTTGTTCCAATTTAAGTAAGATGTCGAGTTTGAGATTTTGTGCACGCAGCAGTTCCCACTGGGAGATTCATTCATCATTTTCAGGTACACGACGTGGGTCGGGTCCGGATTAGTCGAGGCGAAACATTGGATACCTGGTAGGAAACCAAAAAAAAAAAAAAAAAAACAACCACCCTACTGATCCTCGAGGATACCTAAGCGTTGTCTTCCTGGACCTCCTCCATTCTTCCTCAACTAACCCATTTACATATTCCTGTAACCTCCAGGGACTGTTAAATTTATTCTGCGTGGTGACCTATATATGAATTTAACAAGTTACTTGTTTTTGTGTAAGATTCTACTAAAATGATTTATCTGTAATGTGTTTTTGAGATTATAGGCAGAGTACACTTTGTATTTCTTCGTATAATAAAAATGTTTCATTTGTCTAAAAAAAACTTGCTTTTGTGTAAGATGATGTATACACACAGGAATATGAGAAAATTTTTGAGGAGTAGTCATGATTGCACACTATTGTATTTGAGGCAGAACGAAATTATGTTCCTTTTCTTTTACACAGTGGCAGCTAAGTCTGAAGGAATGCATCAAAGCTCTACAGATTGAAGTCTGGAAATGATATGATCACTGCTGGGGGAATTTGATTTTCTGGACATTAAACTGTCATGAGTACGAAGACTGTTGTTGGAAAGATTCTGCCTTCTACTGGGAAGGATTGTTACTGTAAGATTCTGCCTTTTACCGTGAGTATGAAAACTTTAACGTGTGACCATAACTCAACCAAAGTCACTGTGCAAATCTGCGTATCTCTATTTGCTTTTTCTGTGACATTTCATCAAACAGTTACAACCGAAAGCAAGCTAGAAGGAACCCACCAATTATTAAAAAAAAAAATTGTCTCTCTAAAGTGCAATTATAAAACTATACTTAATTTAAGGAAAAAAGGTCATAAAGACATTTTTTTTCACATGAATATACGAACAAACGAATCAGGTTGAAATGAAGAATTGGGGAATCTTTTTATTCAAAAATGCAAATCTTTAGTTTGGTCTAGTGTTGTGGAAAAGCATAACAAGTGGGATCAGGTTATGAATAAAAAGAATATGCATGGAAAAAGGGTTATTTGGAGAAGAGACACCTCCCTTCATAGACGGACGAAGATCAGAGAAAAACGTATGCAACATCTCAACATCAGTAAGATAAGTACCAATTCAAGCATGAGCTCCGGTGAAGTGCAGCGCAGCTGCTGCTTTTCTGGACAAATGGGCTTATCTCATGAATATCATCACTTTCAGGTTTCTGCCCTAACACGCCGAACCCTCCCCCGTCCCCTACCCCCTCTTTTCCCTTTTTCTTTTTTTAAATAAAGTTTGTATTAACAACGAAAACATATTGATTTAAGTGAAATAAATTCGATTTTCTTTAAATAAAATTTTAATTTTGAATTTTGTAAATGAAATAAAATTTTGAGTTGAAATTTTATAAATTAAAAAAGAAGTACTAAAGTGTTTACTTTTTATAACATCTGATTTGATTTAATTCTAAATTAATTAAATTAGTTGAGATATAATTTTTGAATACTGAAAGATTAATTAAAAAAATAAAGTTTGCATTGTAGTGTACTGTGCCTTTTTTTTTATATACTTGACATTATTTTTTAAAAAATACACTTTTATATTAATTTAATATATTTAATTAAATTAAGTTTTTTAAATACTATCTAAAGATTAAATTTTAAACTAAACTTATAAAATATTATATATTTATAAGTATGTATATTTTAAGTTTAATAATTAGGGTGCACACTAAGACTTGTTTGAGGAGATTAATCACTTCTTAATCTGATTAAAGATAAATTATTCAAATTGACATTAAAAAATTCATAAGAGATTGCTTTATTATTAAATTAAAAAAATTCAAAGGTTAATCACAAAGGTAAAGAGTAAATCCTATTACTGATTAATCCATCACAACTTCTTAAATAAGTTAACACAATGTTGAACGGAGGTTATTGTTATCATAACTTTTATTAAAACTATTAATTTCATTTTAATTTTATTAGTTATAATTTTTTAATAATTAGTTATGATATTTAAGAATATTTATTTATAAATGAATTTATTTTAATTTATTAAATAATAAATATTAATTATGTTAACAATTAAATTAAAATAAAAATTTAATAATTATTAATAACCTTCACCAAAGTTACCAATTGCCATAACCATGCCCCTAGTAATCCTACTACACCTTCTTTTTCCGTCAAATTTAACTCTCATCAACCAATATTCATTTACCCAAACGAATTTCGAGTTCTTGCTTGGCATCCTCTGGTTGTGGTTGCCCACAAGACAATGATATTGTGTACCCTAAACCCATATATATATATATATATATATTTAAACAAAATTACATTTTCGAGGAAGAAAGAATGAATCGTACTCAAAACTCAAATCTTATAAAGACTCTTCACGTGAGAGCTACCACGTACTGCTCTGCAGTAGACTTCTCTACTCTAAACCCAACATTTTGAACACGGAAATGGTGAAGAGGACGACACATATTTACAGTGATATGTGTGAGTGTGACTCATGACCCAACATGTACTGAACAGAAAGGTCAATTGAAGCGATCACAGCGTCACATTGCACCCTTCTACGTAAAAAATGATGTCATCAGCCTACCATGAATAACAATAAGCAAGATATCTACTTAAGGAAAAGTGTAAGGATAAATTCAAAGTTAAGGATATCGGACGTACTGTCATGTTTCATTAATAATTGAAATAACTTGCAAGTTTAGTTCTTCTCGGTCGTGCAGTAGTATGATAGCTATAATAGATATACCTGCACCCGATTCTTTATTCTTCAGATGATCGCTTGAATGGACAACTCAAACTTTAATTATTTTGTTAAATAAGTCATGTGGATACTTTATTAAAATTTATAAATATTTTTAAGGATCACCTAAAAAAAGTAATTAGAACTAATTTAAAACTTATTTTTTCATAATTTTTAAAAATTAATCAGACTATTACTGATTTAAGTATCGAAATCTCTAACCAAAAATTTACCTTAGGGTTTTGCATATGTCATCCCGAAGAGAAGATTTAGAGTAAAAAAAGTTACCTAATTTATTACAATTACAAAAAGCTACACAAATCTTTACTTGTTTGGGAAGTTGATGTTGGACCTACACCCTTTTCTTCTTTTTTTCCACTGTAAAATTTTTTCCATTCATAACTCAAGACACGACATCTCGATTGCTTCAAAAGTTTGGAATAACATTTCACATTTCTCAGAGAAATAATTGATGGCTCATCTGATATGACTAAACAAGGAATACGGAAGATGTTATTATTGTTATATACTGTTTAATTATTAATGTTATATTTTTTTTATTTTAATTAATTATTATATTTTTAAATTTATTAAAAAAATAAAAAAATAATTATTTAAGACTCTGAAAATAACCCAGGCAAAGAGTACTACTTAGTAAAGGCTTGTTTGGTGGGGGCAGGGGATTTTTTTTTACATGATCACAAGACATACCAAAGGCCCATCTTAGGCTCAATTTGTTTGAATCAAAATGGTTCAGAAAGCCCAGTTTAGATTGGACTCTCCGCAGGTAAATTCAACCTTCTTAAATCCAATATTTGAAAAATGGGTTCATCATAGCTTGTGGCTAGCCCAATGTTATTAAGTTCAATAGACCCAAAACAGGCCCATACACATTTAAAAAACGAAAAATAAACAATTTCCTAAAACCGGAACACATAGGCTTACGGCATAACCCGCGCCACCGCCGCAACTCCAGCAACCTTTTTAGTCGGCTGTTCCAATTCCCCGAATCCGATTCCGAAGATTTTTGCTCGTGTTTTCTTCCTGCATTCTGAGTTTCGTTGCTCTGGAGAGCCATCGAAATCGTGGATCTATTCGATCCGATGGCGAACATGGAGTCTGACTTCTCGCCCGGTGGAGGAGCCTCAGGGTCGGTTGCTGCCGACGCCGACTTCGGTTTCGCCTTCGATGATAGTAATTTCTCTGATCGGGTCCTCAGGATCGAGATAATTCCTGATTTGCCGGAGAGTAAGTCTGACGGCGATGGTTGTTCTAGCATCGCTGATTGGGCGCGGAACCGGAAGAGGCGCCGAGAAGGTATCAAGAAAGATAATGGTTTGCCTTTTTTAGTGTGTTATTGTTCTTCCCTTTATTAATGAATCCTTTTCCTGCTCAGTTTTGTTGCTATTTGATGCCAAATTGTTGAAAATTTAACGAATTTACTTATCCCTGGGTGAAATTTATATCTAGCTTTTTGTATGCAAATTTAATTTTAATGGCTGATTGGTTTTAAGTGGTGGGTTCGTACTTGCATGGGATGATTGTTTACTTAAGAACTTATGCTTAACCCCGGCATTGAGATGAGGTGTATGCTTCCAGTAAGTTACACTAGGTGCTAGCCTCCTAGGTCATGTTATTCTTATGGATTGGAAATGGCAACAAGTTAAGTACTTGAATATTTTATGACATCCTATCTATATCAGTGCTTGAAGTCAGGGCCACTGGTGCCGCTGTTCGAGATTTGTGTGTGCAAATGTTTCTGATCTTGATTTAGCTTCTTTGATTTAAAATGTTTTGAAGTGTTCTCATTGTTTCCCCTAGGTGTAGATGTCATTGTGCAAGATGAGGAGCAAGTTTTAAATTGTAACCTGCCAGACACTGAGGATGGTTTGGCCTATGAAAATCAAGATGAGGAGGCTGTGGCAATGATTGAGGAACCACTTTCAGATGACGGATTTAATTTAAATCCAGCTGGTTGGTACTTGTTTTCCTAATCTTTTCAAATGTCTACCTAAAATGGAAGTTGAGAGCCCATTTGGTTGTTTGGTAGGGGATGATGATGATCACAGTAATCCTTCTTCTCAGAATATGGATTTTTCAACGGTTCTTAGAGTGAGGAACATACACATTAGTTCTCCAATTTTAGCAGCAAAAAGTCCATTTTTCTATAAGGTGAGAGTGGGGAGGACTTTGCTTTGTTTCTTCTCTCTTTATCTGTGGTTATCATATTGACTTTCAATTGTGCTTCTGTAGTTATTTTCAAATGGTATGAAAGAGTCTGAGCAGCGACATGTAACTCTTCAGATACATGTTTCTGGTAAATTCTGGAACACTTGGAACATACTCTATTTGTAGACATTTCTGGTTTTCTCATTTATTGCATACTGTGAACAAACCCTTTATTATTGTCTTATATGAAATATTGTCACCATGCTTGTTGATCTTTTCTCGTGTATGGTTTCTGCCTGGTTTGAACTTTGTTCATATTTGGGATCAGTTATGGGTTGTATATTGACTTACAGGTCATTTCATTCTTAAATAGGCCAGTGCTTCATTATTGACTAGATAATGTAACCTAAAAGTTTTTCTTCAATGTATCTTTCTTGAGCAGAAGAAGCAGCCCTTTTGGACCTCCTTCATTTCATGTACAGCAATACTTTATCAACAACCACACCTACTGCTTTGCTGGATGTGCTGATGGCTGCTGACAAGTTTGAGGTTGCTTCATGCATGAGATACTGTAGCAGGTTGCTGCGAAACCTGCCTATGACCTTGGAGTCTGCCTTACTCTATCTGGACCTTCCTTCCAGTGTTTTAATGGCAGATGCTGTTCAAGCGCTAACTGAGGCGGCAAATCAGTTTCTTGCTGCACAATACAAGGACATAACTAAGTAAGTATCCTTGTCCTCAACTCTATTCGTATTTTGCACTTCTCTAAGCCAAGTTAGCCAACTACAACTGCTTTTTTCTCATAAAGGAATGCATTCTTGTATCCAGAACCGCTTTCTTTCCTTGTGTGGTAATTTTGCCATTAGTTGTTAATTAATGTGTTGTGTATTTTTGCCAGATTCCAGGAGGATGTACTCAACCTACCTCTTGCTGGTATAGAGGCAGTTCTTTCTAGTGATGATCTCCAGGTAGCTTCAGAAGATGCTGTCTATGATTTTGTGCTAAAGTGGGCTCGGAATCATTACCCAAAACTGGAGGAACGAAGGGAAGTCCTTGCTACACGCCTTGGTCGGCTGATCCGTTTCCCTTACATGACTTGCCGAAAGCTGAAGAAAGTCTTAACCTGCAATGACTTTGAACCAGAACTTGCATCCAAGGTTGTGCTCGAGGCCCTCTTTTTCAAGGCTGAGACATCATACAGGCAGCGCACTCTTGCAGCAGAGGAGGCCAATGCCACTTATCATCGCTTTGTGGAGCGGGCTTACAAGTACCGTCCGGTGAAGGTTGTGGAGTTTGAACTACCACGTCAGCAGTGTGTCGTTCACCTTGACCTGAACCATGAGGAATGTGCTCATCTTTTTCCAGCTGGTCGGGTTTATTCACAGGCGTTTCACCTTGCTGGACAGGGATTTTTCCTCTCTGCTCACTGCAACATGGACCAGCAAAGCTCATTCCATTGCTTTGGGCTATTTCTGGGGATGCAGGAGAAGGGATCTGTTAGTTTTGCAGTTGACTATGAGTTTGCAGCAAGAACAAAGCCGAGTGAAGAGTATGCGAGCAAGTATAAAGGGAACTACACTTTCACTGGGGGAAAGGCAGTTGGATACCGAAACCTGTTTAGTTTACCCTGGACAGCATTTATGGCCGATGACAGCATTTACTTCATTAAGGGCGTCCTCCACCTCAGGGCCGAACTCACCATTAGACATTAAGTTTATCAAGAATTCAAGATAGCTCTCGTAGACTATTGCCCTCTTCCTCTGTTTTCCCTAAACAGTCTTAGACCACTATTACCTTGTCCTAGATTTTTTTTTTTTGGCCAGAATACCGTGGCCTAGATTAAGTAACTATATATATTCATACAAATATTTTTTTCCCTTTAGAGACAGTAGAATTGTATATTTGATTCAATGCTTAAATACATACATCTTTCATGTTACTAACCTTCCCATTACTTCTATTCTGGCATGTTTAATGACTGATTCCTGTTGCCATTATTGTTCCATGCGCAATCTATAAGGCGACATGCTAGATTTTTGCCTTCAAGTCAGGAGAGATGCCAGGTCAAAGCTCGTTGATTGTTGCAAGGACTGCGATGCTAAAGTTGCTTCCCGCATGTTACGGGCTGAGGTACCCTCTTTTTCATCTTTATGTTGACAGGAATCATTTGTAGCGAGTAAAAAAAGCTTGTGCTTAGCTGACTGCTGACCCACCTCAATTAAGTCAATAACACAGAAGATGATTAGAGTCAACATATGGCACAATTTTTCTCAAAAATCTGTTCAAGTGACTCATTAGTCTTCCCTGTTGGGGCCCTTTTGAACATGCTCGGAAGCCTTTTAGGAAAAGCGTCATTATCCTGCAAAGCAGAGTGAAACTCTCTCTAGAGTGTGGAAAACGGTCCCTTCTCTCACAAACATTTTTTTTCAAACACAGATTGCCACTTTGTTTGTGGTGAAGGTCGAACATGTACTGCAAGTTTGTCTGGTTGGCTCTCTGCTTGTATCTCTCTTCATCTGCCCATGGCTCCAACTCTTCCAGGAACTGCCTTGATGCCTATCTCCAGGATTCTGCTTTGAAAGCACTAGTCCGACACCGACCGCAAACGGGTGCCCTCTACAAAGCTGTTCTTCCTCGTAATCTATCCGGCATGGAAGTCTCAGTTGTACGGCTCAGAAGCAAGACGTTATGGAAATTGGGTGCTAATTTCAGCAACATTCACATCCCACCAAGGACCATTTCAGTTCCTCACGTTAGAAGGATGGCCATAGTCTATCAAAACTTGGGAAATTGGTCCTCTCAGTACTACAGAGTCCCAGGTTATTCATTGATTACCTCTGTTGTCGGTTTCTTAGTTTATGATGCATCGAATGTAAGGGCAAGAGGCATAAGAAACATCAGCCTCAGTTTGATGGGGAAGCCCATATCAGTTTATTTTGCTAACCTGACATTGCATCATGACATGATCTCTGCTGCAAAATGTGTGGCATTTAGGCCCAATGGGGCAATTTATTTTTCCGATATGATCTCTCCCAATGTGTGTAACGCTACAGATCAGGGTCATTTCTCTATTGTTGTTGGGCTAGAGAGGAAGCACAAGCGATGGTATCTGTGGGTAGTTGGAATTGTGCTGGGTTGTGGAGGACTGGTTTTGATGGGTTATTTTGCAGTGGTGTTGATCAGACACTTGCAGACTAAGGAGATTCAAGCAATGGAAAAGCATGCTGATGATGGTGAGATTTTTTGCAATAGATGGATTGGGAATAGTAAGTTGCCTTCAGCAACAGTGACTAGAACTCAGCCAGATCTTGAGAATTGATGCCTTTCCATACCTTTTTAATCTTCGTCCTTTTCACCTCATTTTGTAGATATTTTCCAAAGAAATTGGGAAGAATAAATATGGGATTCTAGAAAACATGATAAGAAAGTGTTAGTTTTCTAAAGCAATGAAATTTCAGCATGTGAATCATTGTCACCTGTCTTGCATGCATGTTTAGATCTCTGCGAACTGGGATTTACTTGAAAGAGAAACATACGCCGATATTTGTCCTCTCAACCCCCTTGAGTTTCATGCCCCATGTCTTAGCAAATCATCAAAAGGCATCATCAAAACACACGCATTGAATTGAAAACAGTAAGCTACTTCGTTTTCCCTTACCATCTTTAAGGGGCTGATGGTTCAATCCAACCACCATCTAAACCTACCAGAGCCGATTTTCTTTTGATGGAAAACTAATAAATACAATTTCCACAAGAATGAAGGGCAAGAAAACCTTGAATAAGTTTACATCAGGAAGCAGCTCAAGATTTTTCTATCTACCCCCGGAGAACTTGATCCAGCAGTGAAACCACACGCTGAGACCTGGAGATCCCAGGTATAAAACCCTCAATTCCCGAGAATGAAAGTCTAAGCTATTCGCCTTCCACATGTATTTAACTCTCGGCTATTATATTGAAGACTTGTAAGCCCTATAGAACAATTAAGAGCCTATATTCAGCTATCTCACTAGCATAAACCAATATTAGAACCCACAATTCCACACAGAGCAACATACCAATACAATTGTCTTCTCACAGCCCAATTTGTTGGAGTTTCAATTTTCAAGCTCCAGCAGGAACTAATCATGACCTAGCCAAGCAGCATACTAGAAAGCATAAGAAGGTTGTTCCATGCACAAGTTAATGAGTAACTAATGGTAGTAAGAGCTACCCTTTTAAATTCCAATATATCTTGACTAATTCAGCACAAAGTAGCAAACACACTACATCTTTCCCTTAAAAAGTTGATATTTTTTCATCTTTATAACAAAGCTAGACTCCTTCCACATACACTTCCATCAAGAAGTTGTTATCTGAATCTTAAAACAGAATTGTATATGCAAAAGGAGGAATGAAACTCTTTTTATTATTTGGTAAATGACAAAGGTGGTTGATCTTCTGAAAGTGAACTCTATCTACTGCATGGTATGATGCAACTTCTAGACATTAACAAATCGGTTTATATGACTCAACAGGCATGCATTTCTTATTAACAGCAAAACTTCAAGGCTGAAGAATAATTGCTATGCCGATGTAAAAACCTAATCCATGGGAAACATACCACCAACATCCAATTGAAACAAACAAGTAGCAAAAAGCTATTGTATGCTAAACTAGAGAGCTCAGTTAAGCACACCAACACCAGGCTTACTCTTGCGAGCAAGCTTCGTCCACTCAGTATGAAATGACCCAGGACGATCAACCCTCTCATAAGTATGTGCCCCAAACAAGTCCCTCTGAGCCTGCACAAGATTAGCTGGGAGCCTTGCACGCCTATAGGTGTCAAAGTAGGCAAGACTGGCGCACATTCCAGGGGTGCTAATCCCAGCAGAGATAGCCAACCCCACAACCCTCCTCCAAGCCGCCTGCCTCTGCACCATCTCCCTTGCAAATTCTGGGTCTACAACCAAACTGGCCAAATTCGGATTCCTCTGGTAAGCTTTCTTGATCCTATCCAAAAACACAGCCCTTATAATGCACCCACCTTTCCAAATCCTCGCCAGCTCCCCCAGATTCAAATTCCACCCCTTCTCAACACTCTTAGCTCTCAGCAAATTCATTCCTTGAGCATAACTGCATATCTTGGATGCATAAAGTGCTTGTCTTACATCATCAATCAACCTTTTCTTATCAATTCCTTGCGACACAGACCCTACTTCCTCCTTCAATCCAGCTTCTTTCAATACCAAGGATGCACTCTCCCTTTCTTCCTTCAATCCACTCAAGTATCTACAATCCAATGAAGCTGCTATGGTGGGCGCAGCCACAGAGAGCTCAGCAGCTTGCTGCACAGTCCACTTCCCAGTACCCTTCATGCCTGTTTTGTCTAAAATCTTATCCACCAATTCCCCTTCTGCAAGCTCATCCCTAACCCTGAAAATGTCAGAAGTAATCTCAATCAAGAAACTTTCCAGCTCCCCTCTGTTCCATTCTTCAAAAATATCACCCAGTTCCTCATTTGACAATCCCCCAACGTGTTTCAGTACGTCGTAGGCTTCTGAAATCAGCTGCATATCACCGTACTCAATTCCGTTGTGAACCATCTTGACAAAGTTCCCAGATCCCCCTTCTCCAATGTAAGTAACACAGGGTCCATCTTCGACCTGCGCAGCTACCTTTTCAAGTATATCCTTAATGTTGCTATACCCTTCATAAGACCCACCAGGCATCAACGAAGGCCCGTTCCTGGCGCCTTCTTCTCCACCGGAAACGCCCATACCCAGATAGAGAATACCCTTATTAGCTGCTTCCTGGATTCGTCGCTCGGTGTTCCCATACCACTCGTTTCCACCATCAATGATGCAGTCTCCAGGTTCCATATGGTCAGAGAGAGCAGCGATGGTCTGATCGACCGGAGAGCCAGCCTTGACAAGGATGACAACGGATCTGGGTCGTTGGATGGACAGGACAAAGTCGCGGGGTGAGTAGCGACCGAAAAGCGGAAGTTGGCCCTCCTCATGAGCCCGGTGAAGGGTTTCGTCGACCTTGGAGGTGGTGCGGTTGTAGACGGAGATGGGGAAGCCTTTGTCGGCGATATTGAGGGCCAAATTTTGACCCATGACAGCGAGACCCGCAAGGCCTATGCGAGAGAGAACCGAAGCCTCCATGGCAGATTGAGGGAAGGGGAAAATGGGGTTGTTGAGGGAAGAGAAAGAAGGTATTAGGAATGGGTTGGTGGTGGCTTTTTGTAGGAAGCAAAGCAGTCTCTCAGGACGGACTCGTCGAGGAAGTGAAAGGGCGGTGACTCAACAACCAAACGGAAGGCCGATTACTTCAATTAATCGCTGTAATATGTCCTTTATATGTATATATATATATAAATTTTCTCCTTAGAATTTATTTATTAAATAATTATAAATTTAATTAAAATTTAAGATTAAAATCTGATATTAATAATATGGTATAAATTAAATTATTTAAATATTAAAAAATAAATTTTATATTATTTAATAGTTGAGGTGAGGGGTATTTACAGTGTGTTTTGGTTCTAATTTTAATAATTTTTAAATTAATCTAATTTTTTATTATATGATAATTAAATCAATTTAACTTAAATTAAATTGATGTGATTTGATTAGATTGATCGGTTTTTAATACTATTAAATATATAAAGTAATATAAAAAATAAATTCTTATACTCCTTTACAATTGTAAAAATTGAGAAGATTTAAAAATTCTTTTTGATTACATCATTAGAAGCACCAAAGACTATAAAAGATAACTCCAAGTTTCAAACACAATGCAAGTAACTCTTAAATATTAAATCTTTTTTTTTTTTTTACTTAATGAACCAAATGATTCAGTCTCATCTTTCAAACTCTATCAAAAGCGAATAAAGTTTAATATGAATATCACTAAAATTGATTAAAAACATTTATAATCAAAATTTTAAACTCCTTAACTAAACATCTAAAAATAGTAGAATATCAAGACCAATTCTATTATATAATTTTAAGATTTTTAGAATGATACTTCTTTAAAATTTAGTTAAGAGAATTTGAATATTATTTTAGAAACATGATGAGCTAATTCCACTCTAACAAGTATATTAGTAAGTTCAAGTAATATAATGATGAAAATAGAGTATCATTCCACAGAAACTGTAAACTAATTAATTACCAAAATTAATTAATTCTAATTTTATGTGAACAATTGAAATTAAATGATTGGAATAAACTAAATAACTAGATTAATTAAAGAAAAACTAAATTGACTTTAAATAACATCAAGAGTTAAAATTCTAAAGCATCCAAGTTCATCATAGTCAACTAATATAGAATTTAGATTAATATATTTCTAAGTTATTTATTATTTATGTGACAATGAGATTTCTTATCTTATTTGATATATTTTCTCAAGTTATACCTTCACCTATTAACCCACTGTATCTCTATGTGAATTTAGATAGATAAAAATGCATTATATTATGTGAAATTCCTTAGTTTAGGTAAAAAATTTGGTCTATTTATCAATAATGATGCACGAATTACATTGGTCCATCGCTAAATCAATTTATAACTAAAGGAAAAAAAAATCAACAATCTCTCAATGAATATACAAATATCTAATATTATAAAATAAAATTCAAAAACAAGTAAAATCGACTTAACAATATAAAATCTCAATTTTTTATCTCCTTTTGTTGTTGAATTCCTCTCTCGTCTCTCTTCTGGTCTCCTCCTAAAAGCCCTAAAATGGATTTTTGAATGGGTATTTATAAAGTTTAAAAAATTCTATTAAAATAAGTAGCACTTGAAACAAAACAGGAGCTTGAATTTTGGACGCTGAACGTATGGTATCGATACTGTAAATTATATGTCGACACTACACCCGCGTTGGATTTTGGTCTCCTGTTGCAATTTCTTTAATGGTAAAATTCAGATCCGGTCCTCCAAATTTTGTAAAATGAGAATTTAGATATCAAAACTTAAGATTCATTCATTTAGGTCCCAAATAAGTGCCTTTCTTCTTGCAATTCAATCCCTCAACTTTCAAAAGATGTTTAATTAATCTGAAAAACTCATATTATTATGTATTATAGTCTTTTTCTACTCAAAGAATGAAAATCATGTAAAATCTTATAAAATTCATCCAAATATTAATAATATCAAGATAAAAATTTCATATTTTTTTGTATGTTGGTTGTACAATGAGAGATAATTCTCTCCAATCCCTTATCCTAACTCACCCGCATACCATAAGATTCAAATTCAGAATCTCTTACTTTTAGCAGAAAGAGATTATCACCTACCTACTTAAGTCGTTGGTAGAAATTCCATATTAATATATATAAATTTAGCACATCAAAACAAATTAGAAATTTATAGTTTTAAGAGTAAAGTTGCACATCAACTCTGAGGGGGAGACTTGTAGGCAAATTAAAAATTTAGAATTAGAGTTAAAGTGTACGATTGGAAAAAAAAAAAAAAGAATAAGGGGAATGTACTACTTTTATTTTTTTAATGAAGTTAATAGAGTAATTATTTTGTAAAATAAAAAAGGAGAAAATTTAAAATACTAAAAAAATATTATATTTTTTAATTAAATTAACTTGTAATTAAATTTTATTTTGTAATCAAGTGGTTTGGATAGTTTGACAGTAAAACCACAAACCAAACTAATTATATTAGTTTTAAAATTTTATAATTCAAATTAACCCAATTTTATATGGAATTAGCTTAATTTTTTATTGGATTAGATCAATTTCAATCGTATTAATTGAATTGGATCAAATATGAACACTTTAATTGACTATTTTTGTTTTCTTAAACCATAATATTATATATAGCAACTAATTTTATGATAGAACATAAACTACATTATTGATTCTAAATTTTCATTCTAAGTTTTTTTATCATTTCTATCATTACTCTTATCTATTTTATGTTCCTAAGGTACAATTTAC